TTGTTAACAATACAGTTTGTCAATAGTAGGTGTAACATACCTGTAAAACACACAGCAATTTAGTATAGGAACTGTGCACAATGTCACCCATTACCAGCCACCTGGGACAGCAGCTCTCTCCACAGATAAAATGGGGTCAGTAAAAGAGTCGTCAAACAAGTTACAAACATGAGTCAACACATTAAAAAGACCCGCCAATCTGGACACACCACAGAATGCGCACTCATTCTACTAGGGGGCTCAAAGGACAGATCCGGATAAAAAAATATAATAATAACAATAACATCAACAACAATAATAATAATGTATTTATTCATGGAGTTCAAGCACTATAATAATAACAATAACATCAACAACAACAATAATAATGTATTTATTCATGGAGTTCAAGCACCTGTTGTGTGTCATCTGGATGGATGGAAAAATATAGTTGTCCATGGTCTGCATAAATTGCAGGTTGATATCATGCTTTCTACTAACATTTCCTAATGGTAACATATGTAGAGTAGATAAAATTGGACCAAGTACTGAACCTTTGGAAACTCCATAATTAACTTGTGTGCATCTAGAGCAAATAGTGGGGGAGAAATAAGGAGGAGAGGGGCAATACATATGTAGTTATTTTAAATGCATCCATGACTTTACGTTGACGTGCGATCAGATGCCTCTGTAGTTAAAATGTGAGCTGGTAAGGTTTAACAACTCTCACACTATGATGGCAAAACATTTTGGAATGTAGAGATTCTAGTTTGTTGGAATGTTACACCCATGTTGACCTTGACCGCTTGATTGAAGAGACCATCATATGTTTTAGTCTTCATGTTTTAAAAAAACACATTTTTGATAAGCAGTCAGATAAGTGCAAGGAACAATGCCAGCCATCAAGTTTGCAATGTTTGTCTGATGCGTTTGAAGGATCCATCAATTTGCCAACACCTTGCAATGGAGATCATCACGTGGTATAGCAAGAACCATACTGTACATTTGTAAGTTACAATTACAAAGTTACTAATGTTATTACACAAAATGACAACCAATAACAAATATATAAATAAACATTGCTAACCAAACAAAATAGCTAACCAAATAAATAAATAAAAAACTAAAAATAGATTCACTCAATTAAAAAAATCACCAAAGGGTACTGCCCGCCTCCCCTGTTGACTTTTTTCTGCACTTTATTGTACGACCAGCAGAAACAATTCTCTAGCACATACATTAAAGACATTACACAAACTGTACAGACTCATGCTCTATAACAAATATTTCTGTAAAGTTCATATTGGCGATATGCTGAGGAACAGAAACAGACACGTGACCCAGTTTGTATTGGGTCATGCAGTCAGATATGAGGCACAGCTCCCCACTGATTCACCCGGGTTTTTCTGCCCTGTATTTGATCGTGAAATACTCAAATTTGGCGATTTCATATATAAAGTACATAGAATAAATATTAATATTTATTCTATGTACTTTTTTCTTTTTTTATCATGATGCAAGGGGAGGCACTGCCACCTCATGCCACTGCCATTAAACTAACCTGTCCCACTGCTGAGAGTGAGTATGGTTGAGGCTGTGACAAGACTGCACAACAAGGGCTACGTTTTAGTGGTTAAACACAATCAGGCGGTAGAGCCTTGAGTGGAAGTTTCTTTCTGACAAAATAAAAGTAGAGATACTGGATCATGGATCCAGTATATGGAAACACATTGTGCAAAAAATGTGGTGGAGGTAAAACGAGAGTCAGACAGGTGTGACGGTAGAAATAGGAGTGATGATGAATGTTGTCAGCAGTTATGCCCCACAGGTGGGCTGTGAGTTGGAAAAAAAGGAGAAGTTCTGGAAGGAGCTGGATTCGGTGATAGAGAGCATCCCCAGAGGAGAGGGAGTGGTGATTGGAGCAGACTTTAATGGGCATGTGGGGGAAGGGAACAGAGGTGATGAGGAAGTGATGGGCAGGTTTGGCATTATGGATAGAAATTTGGAAGGACAGGCAGTGGTAGATTTTGCAAAAAGAATGGAAATGGCTGTGGTAAACACCTATTTCCAAAAGAAAGAGGAACACAGGATGAGTAGAGGCAGGTCCACATAGATAGATTATATTCTATGTAGAAGAGGTAATCTGAGGGAGATTAGAGACTGTAAGGTGGGGCCAGGCGAGAGTGTAGCCAAACAACATCGGATGGTAGTGTGCAAGATGACGATGGACATGAAAAAAAAGTAGGGAAGGAAGACAGAGCAGAAGATCAAAGGTCAGGACTCTGTGCAGGCCAGTCAAGTTCATCCACACCAGACTCTGTCATCCATGTCTTTATGGACCTTGCTTTGTGCACTGGTGCACAGTCATGTTGGAAGAGAAAGGGGCCCGCTCCAAACTGTTCCCACAAGGTTGGGAGCATGGAATTGTCCAAAATGTTTTGGTATCCTGAAGCATTCAAAGTTCCTTTCACTGGAACTAAGGGGCCAAGCCCAGCTCCTGAAAAACAACCCCACACCATAATTCCTCCTCCACCAAATTTCACAGTCGGCACAATGCAGTCTGAAATGTACCGTTCTCCTGGCAACCTCCAAACCCAGACTCGTCCATCAGATTGCCAGATGGAAAAGCGTGATTCATCACTCCAGAGAACGCGTCTCCACTGCTCTAGAGGCCAGTGGCGGCGTGCTTTACACCATTGCATCCGACACTTTGCATTGCACTTGGTGATGTGTGGCTTGGCGGAGCTACCAGGTTATTAGACAAAGAGGAGGTCCAAAGAGGAGATTTATGGATCCAGTGAGGGAGGACATGCAGATAGTTGGAGTCTGAGTAGAAGATGCAGAGAACAGGGCAATATGGAAATCAATGATTCGCTGTGGCAACCCCTGAAAAAAAGGAACAAAGCTGAAAGAAAAAGAAGAAGAATATGTATTACATATATCAGAACAGAATCTGTTGGCTGGAAAACTATTGCTTTTACCTGAGATTGCATTGTCTGCAAGAGACCCACCTACCAACAATGGATTATGTAATAGAAAACCTTGACACAAGCTAGATTGTTAATCCTCTCGGGTATCAGGCTAAAGAAGCACACCCACAAATTAAAGTTTCAGTTGACTATCACGCGTTCTGTATTTTTTTTTTTAGAATGTTCTTTTTGTGTTTTTTTTTATAATGTATTACTGAGCATAGCAAATAAAGTAGTTTGATTACAACTCTCTTTGGTCTAAATCGCATAATTTAGAATTTTTTTTACTGCAGTGTATTAGTGTAGGTCCTAGACTTTGCAGTCTCAGTTTCATTATGGATCTGGAAATAAATAGCGGTCCAAAGAGGAGATTTATGGATGCAGTGAGGGAGGACATGCAGACAGCTGGAGTCAGAGTAGAAGATGCAGAGAACATGGTGAAATGGAAAACGTTGATTCGCTGTGGCAACCTCTGAAAAAAGAGACAAAGCCCAAAGAAAAAGAAAGAAAGGATCATGGATAAATAGAGAACTGCATACTGGATAGCTAAAGTTTTATCCAGCAGTGACATGCGGTGAGGTTCATGCCTGGTAATTACAATTACAATTAATTACAATTACACCAACACTAACATACAAAGGAACATATTTGTCCTACAAAGAACGTTTCTTTTATAGAAATGGATAGAGCACCTTTCTTGTGTCTAAGCAATTCATATTTACAGTAAACAAATTAAAGTATACAGATGAGTGCAGCACAAATGTAATTTTGACCTTAATACGCCCCCCTTGAGGTGAGGCACAGTACTGCCTGCCTGCCCTGCTGATTTTTCTCTGCACTTTCTTGTAAAATCAATTATCTTGCACATACATTAAAGACATTACACAGACTCTAGAGAGTCATGCTGTATAACAAATATTTCTGTAAAGTTCATATTAGTGAAATGGAAAAGAGTCAAGACGGGTACGCGTCATGCGACCCAGTTTGTATTGGATCACGGAGTTAGAAATGAGGCACAGCTCTCAACTGCGTCACCCTGGATATCTGCCCTGTATTTGATCGCTAAATACTCTCCATATGAAAATGTCAGAAATGTGTACAGTAATACTGAAAATGCATCTTTAAAACAGATCAGTGGAAAATATTAATATTTATTGTATGTACTTTTTTCTTTTTTATCATGATGGAAGGGGAGGCACTGCTCCCCTGACCGCACGTCAGTTTTATCCAGTATCTCTGATAAAAGTAACGAATCAGTATAGCCTAATGTAGTAGAGTAAGAGCACTGTTTCTTCTTCATAAATATACTCAAGTAAAAGTAAAAAGTATATTGATTTAAATATTTTATTTTGAAAAATTTACTTAAACTAAATGTAAGGAGTAACGCGTTACTACCCACCACTGGTAGTGAGTGAAAAAATATGAGCGTGGTGCCTGCATGAGTGCTCTAGCACGCATGTATGATCACAGTACATCCACGATATGTACCATCCTAAAGTGAAAAAAATATGTAAGTTAAGTTAATTCTAAGTTTATATAAGTGACATAGTGTACATGTAAGATACGGTGTCTACTTACGGGCCAACTCTCTTCCCTCACTTCCTCCCTCCCTCCTCAAGGGATTTCATTTTTTCATCATATTTCTGACAAATTAATCAGTACTTGGTTTTGCTGTACATTTTCTCCCTAAATGCTAATAAAATTGGAAACAACATATATTTACTTTTCAAACTAATACTTTTTTCTCCTTAATGCCTCCAACATTACCTTAAATAACACATCCTCTTTAAACCTCAGTTTGTATATTTATGTAAGGGGTCAATAATGCTAATATCCCAATCATCCCTGCCCTCTGCTGCCATTCTCTTTTTTTTTTATATCTTGTTCACTGCAACTTCAATTCTCGATATGTTCAGCTTTACTGCCTCATTCTGGTTGAAGGCGGAGTCCCCTCTGACACAGATCTGTTTGAATGGAGGTTGGTTGTGGGGGGGAACAATTGTAAAAGTATAAAAGGGGCAAGCTGAGGTGTCAGAGCTGTTGGAGGACACGGGGAAAAAAGGCTTGTTACTAAAGATGAAGATTCTTTTAAGTACTGCTTTAGTGGCGTGCACCCTTATATCGTGCATCTACTGTGCAGACGTTACAATTGGTAAGACTTATCTTCAGTATTTTATGTTTTTATATATATATATATATATATATATGTATATATATATATATATATATATACATATATATATATATATATATATATACATATATATATATATATATATATATACATATATATATATATATATATATATATGTATATATATATATATATATATATATACATATATATATATATATATATATATATGTATATATATATATATATATATATATACATATATATATATATATATATATATACATACTCTCACCTTGAACTCTAATGCCATTTAATGACACTGTGACTACATGCTTCTGTTTTTTTTTCAGTTTGGTGTTATCACCTGCCAAGTTGCAGTGAGTATTATTTGTTTTTACTTCTAAATACCTCAGTGTCATGCAAATACCTTTCGACTATTGTAACTACTCATCTGACTGATGTGTTTGTGTGTTTAAAGATGAAACAAAATGGCCAGAACTTGCTCCAAAGTACTGTAATGGAAGTAGACAGTCACCCATCAACATCAAAACGTCAGCCGCCAAAGCTGATTCTACCCTGACTGAATTCACCTTCACTAAATATAACGACAAATCCCTATTGAAAGAGATTGTAAACACTGGCAAAACAAGTATGTATCTACTTCACTATTTTTTTTGTGTTTGACTGTGTTGTGTTCTGTTTATCGCAGAACCAATGAGAGATTTTGATTTGAATTGACCTCTCAACTTATCTTTTAAAATCTGCTCTAGTCCAGGTTTACTTCAACAGTGGTGCGAAGATTTCAGGAGGTGGTCTACCTGAGGAGTATGAAAGCCTTCAGTTCCATTTGCACTGGGGAAATGGTTCCTCTGTCCCTGGCTCTGAGCACACTGTTGATGGAAAGCGTTACCCCATGGAGGTAAATATTGTTGTCTTTAGTGGTACAAAGTACAAAGTTATGCTGGTAAACAAATTTACATACAATTTTGTGTTCACTCCTGTAGCTGCATATTGTAAACAAAAAGTCATCATTAAACCTAACTGAAGCTCTGAAAGATCCCAAAGGACTTGCTGCTCTTGGTTTCTTTATCGAGGTAAGATTTTCATTATGTATTCTGTTTTATATATTATTCAATTCCTTATTAAGAATCTGCTATTTAGACTAATAAATAATAGCTAACAATAATTGATCATTTGTCCTTTTGTATTTTTAAAGATAAAAAGCCATTCAGATAATAATGTGTGAAATCAAGCATAACATGATTTCTTGAAGAATCCAAACAGCTTTAAAAAATACAATAAAAATAAAGTAGGTAATGTGTAAGGTTAGTTTTTTATATTTACTAAACGGCATATGTTTACCTGATTATCTTTTTGGTAACTGTAGACGTAACTGCAGCAAAATGTTAATCTTATTTTAAGTCACATTAAATGTACCAAAATAAAGCTAATAATTATTTAATCTCCAATAGAACTGAGCAAAACACAGATACAGGGTGGGGCAAAAGGTTATATACAAACACAGGGAAATAATGCTAATTGGATAGAGATGAAAAACATTTGGTAAAAGCCACTAATCACAGAGGGCAAGAGAGGTGTGACACAAGAATACAGCAGGAAAACAAAGACATTTAACGCTGTAACCAACATTAAGTGGCTATTAACCATGGCTAAGAAGTGTTGCCATGACAAAACCATTGCAAGTCATTTATAAAACGTGTCAATGTAATAATTTATATAAAATACAATAATAAAATGTAACAATAATATAATAAATTAAAGGATTCCTGTAAGATCCTCACACCTTGGCCTAGTCCAGGGGTGTCAAACATAAGGCTCATAGGCCAAAACTGGCCTGTTATAGGGTTAAATCTGGATTTTGAAAGTAAAAAAAAAAAGAGTGCACAAACATCAACATTTATAGGTTATTTATGTTACGTTTGTACTGGTCTGGCCCAGTCAAGCTCTAATCGGGCTGTATGTGGCCCCTGAACCAAAATGAGTTTGACACCTCTGACCTAGTCCTTAGGTCCCTTTTGTCACAATGAGGTGATGTAACCTATCTGGCTGCACTGGTTGAGAAACTATCCTTATCATACTGTAACATAAGAAGAGAACCGATTGTGTTCTCTGAAACAGTAGAGTAATAGGAAAGACAATAACCCTCAAATTGCACACATTCATGAACCGACATATATATTATTAATATTATGTACTACTATCATATTCATTTTACACCGCTTTCAACCATTTATTTTTTATTTTTTATGCCACATTTACATCATTGGACAATTATGCTGTGTTATGTATCATTCATTCATTCCATCTGCGTCCCTGCCCCCACTTTGGGAACCTCTGCTTTAATAAATGGTTTACTCTATATGCACTGCCTTTAAATCAGGGGTTCTCAATTATTTTCTGTCATGCCCCACCTTGGGGACAGAAATGTTTTTACGCCATCCCTTCACCACCAACCAACAAGTTGTATTCATTTATGTAAATCATCACTTCTGTACATGTTTTCTTCTGCTCTAAAAGTATTACATTTAAAAAAAAATATTTTAGAAAAAATCAGGTGATGCAACTGATGAACCTGCAAGCTGGAATACTTTAACCTCGTACTTGAAAAACATCTCAAACAAAGGTATGGAAACAGCATATGTGATGAATGCACTCACTGTCAAGTACAGTCTCTTCAGGTGTTGTTTCTCCTTGCAGATGACAAAATCAACATGGCGTCTGGAATTTCTCTGGATGATCTTCTGACAGGTGTGGATCGCACAAAGTACTATCGCTACCTGGGTTCCCTGACTACGCCCGCTTGCAATGAGGCTGTGGTTTGGACCGTGTTCAAGGAGTCCATCAAAGTCAGCAAAGAATTAGTAAGTTTTTTAGTCAGTCCTAAAGCATGATGACTCACAATTAGATTTGCTACTCTCCTGTTAACACACCTAACTCAGTGTTATACCTGTTGTTTAGATTGACCTTTTCAGCACTATGGTACATGTCAATGGCAGTTCATCACCTTTGATGACAAATGTCTACAGAAGTATCCAGGTGGACCAACCTGTCACGACACAGAGCAGTAGCAGTTCCGTCCCTTCAGCATCCATCGCTCTGGTTATAATGGCTCTCAGCCTTGTGGTGGGAAAGATTTGATCATTTAAAACATCTTACCTTTCCGAATATGATTGTGTGAACCATCTGTCTGAACTTTGCAGGAACCTTAGGTTGTTGGACACATCACTAAAATAATTTTGTTGACTCCATTTAAGTGCTATGAGTTGCTAACGTCTGCAAATATTCATTAGGGCTTAATGGGAAGAGGTATTTTCGCAAATTGCACGGCCACACCCACACACAAAAAAAATTGGCTGCCATATCACTTAAATGCATGTTTTCAGCCTGTGGATGGAAATCGGGAAAGATGGAAAAGATTACGCCCATATAATGCAAGATTACCGCAATACTATTATTCGCATGCAATTCTAACATCTAAAAGTATGTATTTGATACATTTTCAAGGTGACCCAGTAATTATAAGGGACACTATGAAAAGATGGGTAGATCATCCGTCTGAGCCCCGGTAGTAAGGGTATACATGTTGAACCTATGTGCGTGTCCACTGTTGCCTAGTTGTTTTGTTCTTTAAGAGCTGATTATCAACTAGATCTCCCTACAAAAAGATTAAGTACTTCAGCCCACTACTCATATTTATCTGGTGTTAAATTACTGGAGTTATATCAAGTGTGGACAAACTTTTTGACCCGCGGCCACAATTGTCCTAAAATTGAACACAAGGCCCGGTCAGGAGCAGATAGATAGAGAGTTTGTGCGAACTAAGACAAACGACATGTTAAAGTCATGCATAAAGGCTATAATGCTTTCATCATTAGGGAAATGTGGGCATTCCAGGGAAAAGGCAGACGTATAATGATAATAAAGATTAATTATATAATTTGGAATGTGAAAAGCTGAACGAGCTGCATCCGGCCTCCAGACCTTAGTTTGCCCATGCCTGGGTTAAATGCAGGTCACGTCAAAACAACCCATTTATTTTATTGTAGTAGTAGACTCCACGTCTCAAAGCTTCATTGGAACTTCCCTTATGTAGGTAATTGCCAACTAGTAGGTAATCGCCAACTTGCTCCTAGATAATCTTTGGTCACCGTCATTGGTTTTATTTTATCCTACAGGAGTGGATGACACATTCATACTTCAACACATATATAATAATTGGCAGTGTGTAACGTACTTAACAATTTTAAAGGCACAGTTGCTGGGATTTGCTAACATCAGTGTTGATATTACATTCAGTACTTCTGTTAATGTGACATGATAAAACACAATAATAGCATGCTGCATGAAATATCTGTACTCACAATGTTAAAGAAATTATATATTTTTTTACTGTACTGTGATAAATTAGGGGTAGATATATATATTTAGGAGCCAATGGATTTAAGGTTTTGTCTAACATAAAAGTAAGTTAAATGTTCTATGACATAATTCTGTGTCAGAAATATACATTTAAACACATAGAAAATAAATTATGTTTTCAAAATATGTACAAAAAAATCATAGAGCATAATCTGAAATAAAGTAAAGTTTATTGAAAAAACAAAAACATATTTTGCTAAATGCATTTTTAAATATATTTGAGTGTACCAACACCACGCCATAAGGGTGTTTTTTTGTTCATTGGTGGTAGTATTTTAATGGGGTGGTTTCTTTTGAAAGGAAGGAACATTATTGATGCTGATGTTTTCCGATGGAGGTTCCGTAGGTTGCGACACGATGTATAGCTTCACACGGTCAATAAATGTTCTGGTGTTCATGACTGCCGCTGCATCTGTCCTGATATTACAGTTTATGAAAGATATTGTCTGTAAATGAAGACATTAGTTGCAAACCCGAAAGTCACTGGTTCACTCGTTTGATATCTTATCCATGGAATTTGCATGCTCTCCCCGTATGTAGCTGGTACTCAAGTACTCAAGTTTCTTAAGAAAACTGAACATTGCTGATTAGGTAGATCAAACAATCCCTCTTTATATGTAGCACTATGTTTGACTAGAAAATCTTTATCTATCTGTTGTCACTTGTTGACAGCTCAGATCGGCTCCAGCACTGGTCTCTGCAAAAAAATATGCGGTAAAACAAAAAAAAGGTGTGGCCTCATTCATAGGTAAAGATACTGTATGTAGGGGGCGCCCCTGGGACCGCTCCTTTGGGAAACTCTCCTTTAGTGATTTGTTTCACTGAATAATGCAATTTTGTAATAGTGTACATTTTTAGCCTTAAGCATTGGACTAGAAACATCTTAAAGCAGGGGTGTCAAACTCATTACCACCAGGGAGCCACATCAGCAATACAGTTGTACCCCTTGTGACATATAATAAAAACATGTAATTGCTAAACAGTGGAGTCGCCATTTACACAGTGATGAAAAGTTGCAGAACTAGTTCTTTGGTTGTGCTTACTAGAATGAACTGTAAGTGAATCTGACCGTGTAC